ACCACAGCTCGACAAGTCAGGTGACCTTGGCGGGATGGTGGCCACGGTATATCACTAAAGCGAGAAACCCCTTGTTAGGAAACATTTGCTCAAGACTCTCATTAATTGGTCTGCAGTGTAGGCTGTAGCACCGTCCTGTTGATTCCTATTATATTCCCAGTTGTTTGGAACCCTAAAACCCATCTTAAAAGCGTATTTTGGCTTGGAACTAATCCATGGACTTCAATATTAAAATTCTACAAAATTCCCGTTGGGTTTAGACGACGGATTCGCCATTTCGGACAAAAGTATCGTATGAGAAAACGAAATGGTCTACGGTCCACTGAGCCATTTCAACAAAAATGGCAAGCCTCACTGAAGGTAATGACATAATTTAAATCTTCCTACCACTTGCGACAACAATGGAACGGATGTTTAAAAAACGTCCGGTTCCTTTGTGTCACCCTCTTTAAGGTAATAAAACCTATTTGATATTGTGATCAATTAATCCTTGAGGCAATGCTGTATAAACAAATATCTGTTCACTAAATAAAGGCCAGTTGTTTACAGTTTTGTTTATGTTTTTAATTTAATAAATAATTTGTGATATCCTATAATACGAATGTTTGATAATGTACTTTTTTTCTATCGTTTAGATGCAGTGGAAGAGCATTATGGCTATGGTAGATGTGTTAGCTTACCTACTATAGAATACCGTAAATTAAAAGAACCAAATATTCTCAAACCTTGTCCTCCCCCATTGCAAACGCAGAGCACGAGTATAACTGAAATAAGAATTTTATAGTAGGCCTAATACATATGAAATAATCATAGCTTCTTGTATGTAGTTTAATAAACAATCAGCAGGTACTCTGCTATTATTCTTAAACATTTAATAAAAAAATACACGCACAGATTTCACATCAACCATCGGCATATATTTATCTACTTTCCCACTTGGCTTATACGTAAACGAAATTTGCTCCCTATGTATTTCTTATGGGAGTTAAATTTGGTTTTTCTTTTCTGAGTTCGTTTGGCTCTTCTACCCGACCGATTTTCATGATTGAGGTCTCAAATTGAAGGTATGCACACACAGATTTCACATCAAGCATCGGAATATATTTATTTACTGTATTATTTGACCCAAAAACAAAAATTGTATTTATTTTTGAATTCTTATTTCAATTTAAGATGTATTTCACCAGTTATAATTATATAATCCTATATATTTTGTTCTAAGACACTTCAGTGAAATCCCGGCTTTCATTTGAGCTATTAGTGATTCAAATCGGACGAGTTTCAAGCAAACACAAGGTGAACAACCAACATAACATTATTATTCATAAGGTATTTCTATTATTAAAAATCAATAGCTCCAGTATTATTCATATTTTTTAAATGTTTTACACTCAAAATAATCAGTAAATTACAGGCTTTAATTTGAGTTGTTGATCGTTTGAATCAGTTAAGCTCAAGATACTGTATTACTCAATCAAATATTTGATTATTTCTCGGATATGATATTTATTTTAACACTGCGGAGGTGCATGGGTCCTCTGTATTTTAATATAGCCTACTAAACATATGTATTTTTCAGGTGGTTACGGCCCTATATTCATACATCAGTTTCTTACAATCTCTTGACTAACTATATCAACATTGAACAAACTACTTATTTTGAGAGCAAAGATTATTGCTTGGTTTAGTAAATAAAATGTACATAAATTACCGTAGTTGATCCTAATATGTATTTAACTTTTGATTGTTGAAAATAAACAAATGTTTGCTTGCTGTACTAAGGAAATCTGGAAGTTTTCCTCTATTTTGTGGTTGACCCTACTCTGTGTCTGAGATACCCCCGCCACAACAAACCTGCAGACTAAGGGAATACCAATTTGTCGGATTGGATTGTTATTAAAACATTTCCATAAACAAGACATATTTCCTCATCATGCTATCCTCATTGAAATAACATTAGATTTAACGAGTAGGTACCTACTTAGATTTGCTGCGATGGGGAAGGTAAAAAAAGGTGTTTTTGAAATGTTGATAGTGTAGGATGAAATAAAAAATGTCCAAATTTCATCAAAATAGATCAATAAACAAGCGGACTATTTTCAGTACACAAGCGGAAAAAGGTTAGCAGTTTTCTTTTTTTTCATGAAAATTAGGCTACAGTGTTTTGGAGTTTTTTACGTAACCTTTAATTTAACAACAGTACATTAAATATACAAAATTATTTGTTTTTCTAAACTAAAAAATGTACCTGAAATGAAAATTGGGCCTTTTCATTTTCTAAGGGTTAACATTTTGAAAACCCAATTTCGGACAGTTTTAAGCCCCAGAATACACAATTCCTATTACCCGATCTAGCTGGTTCGCAAACTCATTCAAACTTGTCCCGCCCTACACCTTCAAGTCACATTTCATCAAAATCGGACAGTATATAAATACAAAAATTTTAATGAATAGTGTTTTTAGCGTCTGGGAACAAAAATGAAAAAAAAAAATAATCATTTTCAGGCCCAGGTCTTACTGTGCCACCAATGGTAATTGCTACTTACTTCCCTATAAGAAAATTTGCTAAACTAGCCATGCAATGTGTAGGATGACGAAGCTACCTGTTACTTATCTGTCATATTCTTCCCTTTGATAAATTTATAATGGCTCACAAATTACAGAGCCAATAAGCAATTTTGTAATTACTAGGTGTACAATGCAGTTGTCTGCTTGCAATATTGAGTGGAGCTAGTATACTAATCCAATACTTTTCTAAAGTCAATGGTACACCTGTTCCTCGTAAATTAGATTAAATACTTGCAGTATCCAATGTCAAGGGTATATTTGGTCCACATAAATGGAATGGCTATTTTGCAGTATACATGTCTACTATCCAAAGCCAATGACAGGCTTACTTCTGGTTCACTTTAATGGAATGTATATTTGCAGTATTCAATGTCAATGATGCATTTGATTCACATAAATAAAATGTTCATTTGCAGTATCCAAACTCAATGGTACATTTGGTTCACATAAATTAATTGTCTACTTGCAGGATCCAAAGCAATGGTTCATTTGATTCACATAAATGGAGTGCCTAATATTGCTATATCCAAACTCAATGGTATTTTTGGTTTACATTAATGGAATTCATAGCCTGTATGGTACGTAGTTCTTGTTCACATAAATGGAAAATCTACTTGCAGTATCCTAACTCAGTTGTAGGTTGTATGCCTTTGGTTCACGTAAATGGAATGGCTATTAGGATTTAAACAAAATGGTCTATTGCCTGTGATTTAAGTCAATGGTGCATCTGCCTTATTCTGGCCTTAATTATTGCTCATTCATTTTGTGGTAAATTATGCTCAATGATATTAATCCTATTGTTCTTCCCTTCTTCTCTGTACGGCATTTGTAATGTACTATTTAGATAATTCGTTGACTAACATATGTTGCGACTCTTGTTTACCTTTTTATCATCTCGCAAATAATGCCATGGCTATATAACATATAAGAAAATTGTAAATACATTAGAACCATGCCATGAACTATCAATCACAATGTAAATATCCCAATAGTCTCATGACCATTGCCCATGGTCATGAAGACATCATAATCGACTCCAACAATCAAAGTAAAAATGTTAGTTTTCCTCCGCAATCACAGAAAAATTGTCATCGTCTTATGCGATCTTGGATAAGTCCTCATCATCCTCCTGATAAATCTAGGACATCTCCTGTGGTAACGGAAACATTATCATCAAATACCTCGATCGTGATAAAAACTGAATTTCTCCCACGGGCATGGGAATATTGTCTTCTGTAATCGCTGAAAATCCTTAACATGATACAACCTTTTAACTGTACCGGTCATGGTCTCAGTCTCATAGGTGACGGATAGTTTGTAAGTTTACATCCTTATTAAAAAGGTTTAAATACCTGCTATTAAGCAATCCATTTAATTGCAGTTGCAACTAGTTTCGACTCCTATGTGGAGTCATCATCAGGCGGTACAAGGACTTCTTCTGACGACCAACAAACGTTTTCGTCAAATTTTATATATGACACTGCCATAAGGATACTGGAGAGTGGAAGTGAGTTAGACAGGACTAGGACCTAACCTGAGATGATAAGATAACGGACGTACACCACTGCAATGACCACCCGCAGTCTGGACTTAAACTCCGTCGGGTTAGCGTCGTCTGTTGTCGTAACTGATCAGTAAATGTTTCGTGTCCGTAACGTGTTTTGTGTCGTGTGTAAATGTTTATTTATTTTTACTTGTTAAATATGACGCTCTTCATATGAAGAAAGAAGAAGTCCTTGTACCGCCTGATGATGACTCCACATAGGAGTCGAAACTAGTTGCAACTGCAATTAAATGGATTGCTTAATAGCAGGTATTTAAACCTTTTTAATATTATTTGGCAATCCGGAGGCTACATCCAAAATTAAGTTTACATCCTTAGTAAAGAATTACAAATTATAATTTCATAAAGGGTGTTTTTGTAACTAATTTATTTGGGTCCAAGGAACAGTGCAAGAATTAGTCTGCACAAATAAATAGATGAATAACATGTACACTTTTAATTTAATACATAACATCGGTACTTAGTTACAACACTAAGATGTGCTATATTTGAGAACAATTGTTTGTCTAAGCTAATAAACTCTCATAGTGTAAAAGTAGTTATGTACAATAAATAAATATCTTACAATTCTAAAGGGATAACATTTTTATGTACAGTACACAAACCATCAGTCTTATTACAAATGCATTAGCATTTAATAGGAACTCTTGGTTAAAATAATTAAAAGGAGAAACCACAAGTAAAAACTCTTTATACACTACCATAGTAAAATATCCATATTACCATAGTAAAATTCACTTTAAAGCAAGAACCGTAGTAATGCACAGAAAGAAGGGTAAGGTAGTCTCACCAGGGAAAAATATATGAAACTCAAAGAAAAACGATTTCTTATTCATATATGTCATATTACCAAAAGGAACTTTGTGTATAAAAGGTGTGTAGTAACAAGGCACAGGAGTAGCAACAAGAAAAAAAAGATAAATAAATGGGTAAAATAAATAGAGACAATCAATATGATTGATCTCTCTTCACAGACCTTAGATTCTCCAGAAAAGCAGTAGAACAGAACTTGTCGACTTTCCGTTCCATTGCTTACTCAACTTCACATCAACCAGATAGTTCAGTTATCAACTTTAACTTCCAATATTTTTAGAAACAAAGATTTAGCAAGTCCATGGCTTCCAACAATGACTGCTTCACCCACTTTTGCAAATCAACACCCTACTTTCGTTGAATGCTGCGTGATCAAAAATTAGGTTAATCTTTGAGGTTCACCTGTAGTTGAGTGATATATGTTTGTATTATGATTTTGGTTGCAATGGATTTGGGTCTGACAGCTAAACGTAGACAGTTTTCTCGTTTGGGGATAATATATTGAGTTTCTCTCAATACCAATCTCTGTATAGATCTTGTCCTGCTGTCTGCTTCTGCCCTGAAAGAAGATAACAAATTTAACACATAGACCTCGGAAGGCTTTTATGGATGCTATTACTATTTCAGTTTAGTCAAAATTATGGAATTATCATCACCGTAACTTACAGGGATTGAGGTCAATAAAGCGTTGTTTACAGTTGGATAAAATCTAGGCAAGAGAGATGGTTTGCTTGGCTGAATGCTCTTCATATCTTCCCCCTCTGTTTCCATCTCAGTCCCTCCTTGTTCAGTAACATGAGTGACCGTAGGACTTGAATTACCTGAGAAGACACAACACATTTAGTCAAGTGTGGAAGCAGTGCTTTGATAATACTTTTTGTCAAATTTGCAACAGAAAACTCAGGCATTCAAAATTCGTCGGGGAGTACAAAGATATATTTGGAAGATGTACATGATTCATATCAATTCAGTTAACTATGGCGTAAACCAGTTTACAATATGATTTAATATAATTAAGTACAGTAGAGTCCCGATAGTCCGAAATGGTCGGGACCTGACCCATTTCGGATTAACGAATATTTCGGATTAAGTGAAATGTTTACTAAAATACACATAATGATGAAAACACAACATTAAAGTTGGCCCATTGGCCTACTACAAGTCTACCTCGCCCGGCTGCTCGGATGTTACAGAATTCGACGAGGTACACCTAATTGTCGTACCATTACGACTAAAAAAAACTCTAAAAAACTCCTTTTCTGGTTTCAAGTTAAGTGGACTTTCTGATTATCAAAGTTCAGATTATCGGGACTCCACTGTACAATGATTTTTACAATCAACAGGATGACATGTACATTACAAGCAACAAGCAATAGTACAAAACGTAAAACACATAACAGGAGACAGGAGTAATCTGTAGCAACACAAAACTCAACAGCGAATTCAGTCAAACTTGTATTGTTTGATTAATTAGCTGTATTGGTTCGGTATTTTTCATGGCAGATGGGGATATTGAGATTAAATTATATACCTCACATCAAATATACATATTGTACCCTTCACTGCATCGAAAAATAAACTATTGACAAAATATTATGGGAATTGTTTATAATAAACAATGCATACCTATTAGTTTGGAATATTCCTTATTGCTGAGGCAGTTGTAATTGTAGTTGTCACAATATATTTTCCTCCCGTAGTAACCGAAGGAAGTGTAAGATGGGCCATAGTTTGTGCCTTTATTGCAGTCAATGCTCTGGAAATTCATAAAATTAAAAGTTAAAGGATTTCATAATAACATATAAAGGTACATGATTATAACAACAGAAATATACAGTATCAGCAAACTGACACATACTTTCTTCCATTTGGTTGACAATAAAATTGAAGGAAAAAACAAAACAATTAAAATGGGTAAGCACTAAGCAGACGGGGTAGCTATGGGCTGAAAATTTCCATCAAAGGCTTGCACATGTGGTTATGTAAATCATACGATTTACAAATAGAAATTGTAAACTTTAATTTACCCTATTCGCAGACGGTGGAACAAGAGTTGTATATGCATAGGCAGCTGACGTATCATCGTAGCTTTGTCCATTGATCTCAGCGCAATCTTTGGCTTCAGATTTATGTTGGTCTATCCACAGATCCGAGAGAGGAGGTGGAATCACACGAAAACCGAGAACTTCACTATTCCTCTGGGCATCTGGAAATTAAAATAAGTTTTATTAAGTTATACAATTTTGGTTTATTACAATATTTTAAATTGCATTGATGCACAGTGAGAGTGAATGAACACTTTTTTGTATTTTGTATATTATTAGGTAGCCTAAGTTACATAAAATAGAGAAACCTGTGGAAGTGCCTTGTAGTTAACATTGTTGACAACAACCCAGGTATCTGCCATTTTAGACTTTTAAAAATATATTTAGTTGTGTTCAGTAAATGTTGCCACAGTCAAGATGCTTTATAAAAAACAACACCACAGTCCAAGTGAAAACTGGAAAACTATTAGGGTACAGTATAAAATGAATAATGAAAATAAGAAGTAAAAAATCCTAAAAGATATAATACTTCTACCAAAGTGAATAGAATCTTGAATCAGTTAAAAACCCTCAATCAATGTAAAAAAAAAAAAACACATAATTACCAATTTTAATTTATTAATGGTGATTTTGAAAATTTGAAATGAGTTTGTTTATGAGTTTAAGTTAGTTTCTCACCTTGTTGATATCCTTTGTTGTTTAAAATCTGTTTCCGCCACACATAGAACATCGCAGAGAAGAACAAGAACATTACTGTAACCATGGAGCCTAGAAGTGCTGTAAACCACGACTCGGACAAAACATCTGGTTCTGTCATATCCAGGCTAGGCTGCATGTTGATTGGCTGGCTGAAAATTCAAATATTCCTTCAATACCTTCGTTCAAAAGTAGGGATGGACGGGATTGAATTTTTAGTTCGGGACGGGACGGGACGGGATTTTTATTTCCTGCCCAATTTTCGGGACGGGACGGGACGGGATTTTTTTCTGTGCATGAAAAGAAAGTCTTGAGTATTGCAGTTACCAAAAAAGGCATACGAAATCAATCTTTACCGTTTGTGGCACTGATCTATAAAAACCAAAAAATGGGTAAACATTTTTCAGGTACCTATAGAAACTTGTGACTCGCGGTCGAAAGGACTCGCGGTCACGGTGCGATCGTCAAAATGACCGCAGTAACGGGGTGATCGTCGGTATGACTCGCGGTCAAGGCATGATCGTCGGTATGACTCACGGTCACGGCGCGATCGTCGGTATGACTCCGCGGTCACGGCGTGATCGTCGGTATGACTCGCGGTCACGGCATGATCGTCGGTATGACTCACGGTCACGGCGTGATCGTCGGTATGACTCGCGGTCACGGCGTGATCGTCGGTATGACTCGCGGTCACGGCGTGATCGTCGGTATGACTCCGCGGTCACGGCGTGATCGTCGGTATGACTCGCGGTCACGGCATGATCGTCGGTATGACTCACGGTCACGGCGCGATCGTTGGTATGACTCCGCGGTCACGGGGTGATCGTCAGTATGACTCCGCGGTCACGGGGTGATCGTCGGTATGACTCGCGGTCACAGCGCGATCGTCGACATGACTCCGCGGTCACGGCGTGATTGTCGGTATGACTCCGCGGTCACGGCGTGATCTTCGGTATGACTCGCGGTCACGGCATGATCGTCGGTATGACTCACGGTCACGGCGCGATCGTCGGTATGACTCCGCGGTCACGGCGCGATCGTCGGTATGACTCGCGGTCACGGCATGATCGTCGGTATGACTCACGGTCACGGCGCAATCGTCGGTATGACTCCGCGGTCACGGCGTGATCGTCGGTATGACTCCGCGGTCACGGCGTGATCGTCGGTATGACTCCGCGGTCACGGCGTGATCGTCGGTATGACTCCGCGGTCACGGCGTGATCGTCGGTATGACTCCGTGGTCACGGCGTGATCGTCGGTATGACTCCGCGGTCACGGCATGATCGTCGGTATGACTCCGCGGTCACGGCGTGATCGTCGGTATGACTCCGCGGTCACGGCGCGATCGCCGGTATGTCTCCGCGGTCACGGCGTGATCGTCGGCATGACTCCGTGGTCACGGCACGATCGTCGTTATGACTCCGTGGTCACGGCGCAATCGTCGAAACGACTTCGTCTCCTGCGTTCGCGGACCTATCGCTCGCAATAGCGGCGTCATCGGCACTCGCGTAGCGGCAAAATCGCCGACGATTGGACCAAATCCCGTCCCGAAAAATTCCCGAATCAAATGTAATCCCGTCCCGATAATCGGGAATATTTTTTTCCCGAAAAATTCCCGAAATTTCGGGACCCGTCCATCCCTATTCAAAAGTCAATGTAGTTAAAAGTTAAAACATAGAAAAAGGGAATATTAATTAATGAAAAAAGAGGTTAGTAATGATGTTTTTGGTATTATGACTGAATTTATAATATAGGTAAATTAAACATTTGGTTTAAAGGATTTTTTGAGAATATCAGGCTTACCTGAATGGGAAAGAGTCCAAACTGGCACAAGAAACACAAAACTTTACACTATAAACACAAAACAACTTGTGACTGAAAGCATGTTCAACTATGGAAGAGAGAACTAAGAAAACTGAGGAGAAAATCATGAAAGAAACTTCCTCATTTGAAAATGCTGTCAGTGACAGTGAAATATTCTAATGTTTTGTTAAGTTTTGTGTATCCTGTACCAGTTTGGACTTTTTCCAATTCAGGTAAGCCTGATATCCTCACAAAAATCCTTAAAACCTATGCCCTATATTACATCCTTAAGAATTTAATTTAGTAAGAAATTTAGAAAATTAATTGAATAGAGTATTAGAGACACTTTGATTGATTCACTCCCTCACTTAGTACGTTGATCGCATGTAAATGCTAGCTGGGAAAATATTAAATATATTTTTTAACAAGAAAAATAAACGCAAGTTTCCACCTCCAGTGTTTAACAATCCATCAAAAAAAAAAAAAAAAAAAAAAAAAAACTGTGACCTTCTTGTTAGTAAAACCCCCAAAAAATACCAGTGGCGTAAAAGCGCCTCAATATCCTCCCCATTCTAGTCAGCCCTATTCAAACTATCACGTATGACACTAAACATTGCAATACGGAACAAATCATGTAGCATACCCAAAGTGTCCGGACAGTGCAGATGTTGGGTCCAGCCTTAGAGACCTTGGGTTACTGTAGGGTCCAACCCCTACTATAGTAGCCGCTGCTGCCTGGACTGTATAGACAATCCCCACGGTCAGATTGGTCAGAAGGAGGGAAGGGTTTGCTGCAGAAACTGTGACGTTGCTCACACTGTTCCCAACTCTGACCATCACCTGTGAATCATTTTATTGTTTACGTATTTAATTTATGAAAATACACTTTAGAGTTTCCTTGCAACAGTTCTGGAGGATTGAACCAAGTTGGTAAAATTTCGGTTGAGTTTTGTTCTGAAGAGAAGTGTTGTGTAGAGCGCTGTTAAAAGAAGCACGCCTAAACCCGGAAGAACAAAATACTGTTGACAAAAAGATGGTAACAAACAAATGTTGGGAAAGTAATAGAAATTGAAAATCGTTAAAGTTACAGTTAAGTTCAGGATTAGGAGCAGCTGAGGAAGACGCAGAAGATAGAAAAAAGATGGGGGGGCGTTGTTGGAATGGCCAAATATCTCCATATATATGCTTGTGAGGAGGATTAATTTTGTTCTAAACACATAAATTTTAACATTCCCTCCATTGAGCCAAGTTTGAATAAGATAATATATCCACTTGTACACTAAACTTTAATTTGATCTATTCTTATGTATAAATAAGGTTTACAAATAGCTCAAGTCGCGGCCAAGAGTGCTAGTTCAAACCTGAAACCAGTTTATGTATATATAACTTCCTTCATTAGTATTTTAGCTGGTCATTCCTATGCGATGATTTACTTCATTGAAGTAGCTATTACAATGTAAGGGAAAATAAGCACACCTCGCCAAGAGTAAATTATGTTCTTTGATTTGGTTTTGTAATGATCCCCAGTTGACAAACGTGAATGGAGAAACGCGTTTGGAAAGAGCATGTCTGTAAAGTAGGGATAGTCTGTACGTCTGTAAGGAGTAGAGGGATCTTGAAGATGGTCCTAAAAATTTAACAATATTTGCGATGACGTGTTTGAGGATATATCGTAGACATTTTCCACCACGATTAGTAAAAAAAAGTTTTCACGACATTTCAGGATCTAGAAAGTCACATGGAATAACCCCGCAGAAAACTGTGTTGTAGTCAAAACGTGCAATCAACAAAATGAAACTTGAAGCAATAAAATGGGTTGGAACAAAGGTGGGTACAAACAAAATGGGCACGTTTTTAAAAGCTCAAGCAAGACCAGTCTTGTTGTAAAAACCTTTTTACTAATTGCAATGGAGAATGTCACCAATGATCCATCAAACACCATAGAGTCACTATCACCAAAAATTAACTTTAAACAAAACATAGGTTTTGTTTGTGGTTCTGACAAAAATGTTAGCGAATTTGCAAAAATTTAAGTACACCCTGCAGTGCCAGATTTGATCATTTGAACTAGTTCAATATGCCATAACGATAGGGATGGTCAAGTCTCGAAATTTCGGGAAATTTTCGGGAAATTTTCAATCTTGTTACACGAGACGAGATTACTTTTTGGCCGAGATTTTTATCGAGACGAGAATTAAAAAAAAAAAAAAAAAAAAAAAATTAAAAACGCCTGCAGAAAGTCAATGCAATACCCGCAATACAGGGGCGTGTTGTAGTTGCGTTTCCTTTTCGAAGGCGTTCTTATTTAATTAATTCTTTTAATGTAAATATTACTTTAATTCTTTTAATGTAAATATTACTTTCATTATTTTAATAATATTACTTTAATAACATTTGAGAAGTTTTGTTAAGTGTAAGCAGTGTGAGGAATGTTTTATTACTATAAAAAAAGTCAAAAGAAGTAACTATTTTATAAAAATTAATATTGCTTTTATTTTATGATTTATTTTATTTTAGGATAAGTTGAACTCTATCCTAACTGATATCACCATGTTTCCTAATCGTAGGCATTTTTAATAAGTTAGGCGTGATTAATAAAAAAATGTTATGCTGATGTTATTTAATGAAAGATTGTAAATATTCTTGCCTATTATCATTATTTTAGTATTTAAACAGTCATCTAACAATGTTACAAAATCAGGTAAAAATTTCGAACGTGCATTTCCCGTTGTGTATGAGAAGAGAAATCTCGTCTCGATCTCGTCTCGAAATTTTATGAGAAATAAAAAATCTCGTCTCGTCTCGTCTCGAACTAAAAATCCAATCTCGTCCATCCCTACATAACGAGTTACAAATAGCTCTCATACTTTTTTTTGTTGCCATATTTTTCAGTGACTCAAAGTTTGAGGTATTTACCTGATAAGATGTAATGATCCCGTTTTGACCATACGTTGGAGGTTTCCACTTTAGCTGAACACTGCTCTTGCTGACCAACACAGCCTGTAGATGACCAGGAGGTTCTGAAGGAACTAAAAAGAGAGAAAAAATTAACTAGACATTCCATCTTGTTAAAGTTGTCTCCAGTTTTAAAATAAAATCGAGGTAATTCAATTGAGCAACAGACAGTTTGTGCTAATGTAAATTACGGACTTCTGTCGAATACACAGACTTTTTAACCAAGTCAAACTGATCGAACGACTTATTGCAGTGCTAAGCTAGAGCATCATATGTCGTGTCAACTATTTTAGAACCGGTGGTAAACAACAAAAATAGGTAGGTAGTAGAAAGTAGAATGATAGACACTAGCGCACTATGTGAATGGCTCATTAAACTATATTCTTTTTTAATACAAATTTGGCATATCGATGTATATTTCAGCATCCAAAAGTCAATGGTAGTAGTAAAACAGTTAAAAAACTTACAGCAATAACCTACCTTAATAATCTCAATTGTAGAACGTATGTCTATATGATTCTCAAAGCGCAAAGCTTCAAATAATTTTGAGTTTCAAAAGCAACTTAAAAAACAAAATTACCAAATTTCTCCTCACAATCTTGTACCTCTGAGCAGAGCCTTTTCAACCGCCCCTTAATTTCTTCAGGGTATTTACAAGTAAGAAATCACACTAACCGTCTCCCAAAGTCACGGCGGTCGCAGAGTTGGACGGTCGGCCTGCCACTGTCTTATAGAATGGTATGAGGAAGAACTGGTACTGAGTGTATGGCTGCAATCCAGTGACCAAGTAGCTCGAAGAATCTCTCGAGTGAAGCACCGACACTGACGAAGTTGTGTTTTTGTCTTGAGAATAGATCAACACTCCTTCGACGTGATCTCCACTCAGAATCTGCAATTGGTTTGGTATGATTTGTATTACAAGTAGGGTTTTAATTGATTTATTAGTACTTTTCTTTCATCGAGGTTGGATGGATTTAACATTTATTTTTGGTGTTAAGGTTTCATCAGCATTTTTTTTTTAGAATGGAGGTATAGGAAATTGCAAGGAGTGGCTAATTTCCCTGGCTTAGTAATCAGAAGATTGTCAATGTGATCCTGAAAAGTCTGAAGCATTTTGATGGTTCAAACTGGACCCAGCTGTCTCTAATCAATGGGCCAATGGTAATGATCCTAGGAAAGGAACGACTGTTTTCAGCTAAAAGCTACACAGATCACCTTATTCTCTCTCTGCATTCATATGAATTCAATTGACATGTTACGATTCACAAAATTTAGTTTTATACTAGACAATCTAGCCGTCCACTAATAAAAGCCATTTAAGTTGCTAAGACACCTTTCGATTGACATATTCTCAAAATGGAACTGACAATATCTTCAACAAACGTTTAGCTCTCTATTTAACGAATTGCTTATCAAACTGTTCTACTATTGTCAGTATGTTTGGCCATTTTATCCTTATTGTCAAGCTTGATTTTTCATGCTTTTTATTTCACATCACCAAAGTACTCTGTCTCCTCTGAACTCTAATTTTCTCAAGTAAGCTAGCTGATCTCTATTCCTTTTTGAAAAAAAAATCCAAAGTAGATTAATATCAATCTTTTGATTTAACCCGTACCGGTACACAACAAAGAATAACTATTTTGGACGCTTTTAGTTTGAATGATTAAAATTATTTGTACGACTTTCTTCTAGTAAACCAACCTCCCAAGTCACTTTGACAGAGGTTGAAGACACAGGCTGCACAGACTTCAAGTTAACCACATGTCCCGTGGACAGACTCGCCCTAGCCTCTTGGACCCCAGCGTCTTCGGTATGAGAAGTCATCAGTGATAGGGTAGCGGAGGGAGGGGAAGCAGACGACAGGCCGTGGGAGTTCTCCGCTCTCACTACAAACTTGTACGAGGCGTTGGACTGGAGGTAGTTCTGGGTGTAGGTAGGACCAGCGACTCTCCTTGCGACTACGAGCCAACCCCCTGTCAGTGACCTGCTGAACATTTCTACCTGAAACGTTTCACAATACTTACTGAGGTGAATCAATTCATGGGAGCAGGAGGAGGAACGTGCAAAAATTGCATATTTTTATAGGGGTTTAAACTTGTTTACGAGGCAAAACTAAAAACGTAAACACCGGTACTCACTTGGTATCCGAGAAGTGAGGATGCGCCGATCTTGTTGTTTCTAGTCCAAGATATCGTGATGCTAGAGTCAGTAGAGTCTACCAGGACAGGGGTGCTGGGAGGACCTGGTAAAGTAGCAGGTTCTGGACTACGGAAGAACGCAGCATTTGGGTTAGTGCGGGGCTCTAGGCGGAGGCTTGCACTCCATGTTGCTTTGCCTGCAGGTGAGGACGCCACACAGGTGTAGAGACCTTCATCACTCTTTACAAGATCTGCAAGATAACATCTAACTTAGTGCGGGGCTCTTGGCGGAGGCTGGAGTGGCCCAATTATCAAGGGCTGTAGGGCACTGTTTCGACGGGATCAAACCAGCGACTTTTTACTACAAGGTGAGCATTGACTTCTCAGCTATTGTAATATAAGTTGTTTCTACCTGTTTATGAACAATAGGTATAATAATTTCAAACATAGTAAGCTGTCAATCAGTTTTACAACTGACCTTTGATCGTAAGTGTGCCGTCGTCCGAAATGCTTATCATCGGAGGATCAGTTTTGACTGGTACACCATCCTTGTACCAGGACACTACGGGGGTTGGCTGGCCAGAAGCTTTACACAACAGTGTGGCGGGGGTATGCAGGGGCAGTGTCTGGTTGGCGGGGCCCAGCTGGATGATAGGCGGGGGATGATCTGCGGGGGTGGACACAGTTAGACGAGAAAACCATGAGTCTGATCCGACGGAATTGACGGCGCCACACATCACTACAAGTCCATCGTCTTCTCTCTTCACCTGCTGAAGGTAGAACAATTAAAAATTAGATCTTGTTTTTTATTTAGAGTTAGATTAAACTATTTTAATTATTCTTCCACTGTTACTTATTGAAGAATCGTGGTCTTCTGGTGACGAATATGTCAAAATCGACTAATCACTATCACTCACGGACGTTTTTGACTCGATGGTGTGCCATCCTCAGGGTGACTTGACTTTGGACTGATGACAAATCAAGTAATCTGTGGGGAGTCAAGTTTCCATAAGGCCGAAAACGTCGGTGAGTGATAGTGATTCCTAGATTTTAACACGTTTGTCACCAGAAGACCATGATTCTATTTGAATTATTTTTCATGAGGAAGGAATTAAAGTTTATTGGTAGGCTATTTAAGTGATGATTGTGCTAGCTTCAGCCTAAAGCGTGGTAAAAGACATTCTTGCAAAAATCTTAGAATCTTTTATAAGCAAATAGAGTTCAGCCTGCTTATCTAAGTAAATATTTTAGTTGAGGGGTTAAAATAATCTGCAAAAGCTCTATTATTTCATTTGAAAATATAACCTCTTCAGAGAGCAGGCCTAGATTAAAAAGGTGTAATGTCTATTGCAAAGGTACAAAAATAATAAGATGAGGCAATCCTACTGGTTAATCGAGGAAAAAAAATGCTTACTATTATTTAAATGTTGTAAAAGTATAAATGCATATTTAATAGAAACAACTCTGTTTTTGGCAGAATGGTTTATAAACATCACAGAAACAGCAATCACCAAAGCAACGTAAGTAAGCAACGGGCAAGTGCTTCATGAGTACATACTACTTTCTAACCATCCGCAAGTGGTTATTATAACTTTTTTCTAAAAAAAAAAAAAAAAAAAAAAAACGACAAGTGAAAATTTATCATGAAATCATAAATTTGGTACAGTAGACTCTTGATAATTCGAAATTGGTGGGCCAAGCATATAAATTTGAATTAGGCTATCAAGAGTTTTGAATTATCAAGAGTTCGATTTATCGGGAGAAAAATAAACCATTCGAATTACAGAGAGTTCATTTGTTTAATACTTACAAAGGTACAGCACGTTTCAATAAAACATCATACCGTATTTTAGTACACTTTTAAACAATCAACGGCATATTTTTCAGTTACTGTAGTTGCAAAGAAATCTGTTATTTAGCGCTATATATTTCGCCAATAGCTGAACTATCAGCTGTCGACAACAACGTGTGTGCTCAAGGAGATGTCGCGCCGCGCAATCTAGAGACCGGATTGCCAACTTAGAAAACAAGTCAGCGAACTAACTCAGACTACTGCTCAAACTAAACAAACATCAAAACGTCCAATACTAGCCTACCATGGGAACAGGATGTACTGTACTATATAGTTTCCTGTTATAACAGGAAGAGATCACTTCGAATTATAGAGTGTTTTGCCGACTAAACTTCGAATTACTGCGTGACTTTGATTTATAGAGTGTTTTTTCGACGAAACTTCGAATTACAGCATGACTTCGAATTATAGAGTGTTAACCGACGAAACTTCGAATTACTGAGTTACTTCGAATTATAGAGTGTTTTTCCGACGAAACTTCGAATTACTGCGTGTTAAAAATTGACCTGCCCTCTATTTGGACTTTGAAATACCGAGTGTATCAAAATGCATGGTAAAAATTTGAAATATTGAGAGATTCTCTAGGGACTGAGCCTTCATTTTGAATTATCGAAAGTTTTGAATTATCAAGTGTTTGAATTACCAAGAGTGGACTGTATGCAATTTTATCGGGAATTCATTTGAAAGACTCTAAATGTTAAAATTTTTAGACAGTTAAAAATTCTGAAATTGTAAAACTTACTTTTACAGTCAAGGTAACATGGCCCTCCTCCTCCGAAGACACGGCGAATCTCCCGTTCTCACTACCCGGCAATATCAGAGTGTGGTTAACCTCCACCAGCCAGAATATTGTAGGGGATGGTCTTCCTACAACCCCACAGGAAAACACTGCATCCTGTCCTTCCTCTACTGTCAGTTCTACAGGGCGGACGCTAATCAGCGGGGAAGCTGAAAAAAAAACCATTAAATATTAGGCCTATAGTATAGTAGGTAATATTAAGAAGCTAAACATAATTTTTGTACATGTAAGAGTTCAAATTTCAACACAGTTTTATAAGTAGGCCACACATACAAAGTGTCTAGGAATTTGTCGGTTTTCTCATCAATATGTTTGGTATGGCCTATGCTCCTTTATTAGTTAACCCTTCTAAAAATATTACAAAACAGTCCAAGTTATCATGTAAAATGCTGACTGTTATATAAGGTTCACTAACCTATACAATAAATTGAGGAAATCATAGTCAACTGTATAGTTTCTTTGAAAACCTAAAAACATGATAATTTTTCTAAAATCTGCACGTGTATTGTTTTGATTAATACAGTAAACTCCCTCTTATCCAGACTCCTCAGGACCAAGGCCAGTCCGGATAACGGTTTTACCGGTTAAGATGACGTCCCCAAAAACTCATTAAAATGGACCGTTTACAGTGATAATCGAATTAAATTTAGGAGAGCATTGTATTTAGACATGTGATCACTGGTCTCAAATCTTTCCCACGAGAACAGTCACTACAGTACCACCCACTTCCTGCCGATCTAGTCCGGTTAAACCAATGTGCTGATAAAAATTTTCCGGTTAAAGAGATGTCATTTCCGTCAAGTGTAGTCTGGTTAAACCGATATCCGGTTAAAAGGTGTCCGGATAAGAGGGAGTCAACTGTATGTTATTTATTTTAACCATGAAAATGGTAAAAATGTTTTTTTTTTAATATTTTGGTCTAGGGAATTATGAAATTGCCTTTCTGAATAGGATTGAAATACTAAGAATTGGGTGGATTTTAAAATTATTTAACCTCAAAGACTTTCAGTTTATGTAAAAAATCAGGGTTTAAAGACTGTTACTTTGAAAATAAGTAGGCTAACTGGCTAACAGGCAGGAAAAATTATCAAGATTCACACAGTAACAACTTAAATATTTACAGGCAGAGGCAATTCCAAATTACTAGGTGTCAAGTGAATTAGTGGATCTAAATGAATGTCTTTTGACACGCTTTATCATTGAATTTGGGATATTGAAGTAGTAATGACCTAACTATTTTGACACTATTTTTATTGTAATTATTTTGACACTATTTATTGTACAATGTACATAAACACAAATAAAGATTGAATTGAATTGAATGCAATCTTCATGGACCAGATATCATCAATTTTTTATTAAAATTCAGCTAATCCAATTTCATTCAACAGCTTTAACATGAGGATGGAATATCTAGTTCTATTAGTTGTCAAAGATTGTATGGAACAGAAACCCCCACAAAACTTGTAAGTAACAAGAACGCCTTCTAAGTAATGAACACTCACAATGCACTGTCAAAGTAGCCGTTGTGCTGAGTCCACCGACATCATTGTCTATCTCGCAAGTGTACGCTCCGTCGTCTGCTGCTGTCACATGCTCCAGCTGTAGTCTGCAGTCCTCCAGCACCTGGGCTCTGTCTTGCGCCATGTAGCCTCCGCGTGTCTTGACCCACACCACTGCGGGGGCTGGGTCTCCCCCCGCCTGGCAATGGAAGACAACGGTTGATCCAGCGACAGCCACTGTATCCACTGGGCCCTTGATGAGAAATGGACGTACTGAAACCAAATTGTTTTTCAGGGTTTGTTAAGTATATTCTTTCATTAATTGTTCATTAGAAGCTTAATGTCTGGAGCAACTTATTTTACATTGATGTAAGGTTTGGTTAAAAAGGTTGTAACAATCAACACTTTTTTTGGGATTTACCTGATGGGGATTTATGTTGTCCTTAGTCTACAATTAATAACACAATGACAAATATGTTGTTTGTATTTCACACAGTTTAATTAATAATGTTGAACTAATCAGAATAAGTAGCCTATTGCAAGTTTACCATGTACTTGTAGTTGAGCAACAGCAGATTCTCTGATTCCCGCAGCATTCTTAGCCACACATTGATAACTGCCTTCATCATTTTTCCGGACATTTCGTATCACAAGATTTCCGCCGTCCACAATTTGTATCCTAAAAAGCAAAATTGTGTTTTAAACTATTTGTAAGCGAATTGAGGTCCTACAATATAGGAAATATAATTCCAGGACCAAAACACCCAATCACACTCTGTTAGAGCTCTCAAACTGATTTAAGTAAAGTATCTTTCAAATGCCTTTAAGAATAAACAGACACACATACACACTTCAACTATTATATTGTTTCTAAACTGCTTGAGAAGAATAATTGATAACTGTTTGTCCATTAATCAACATCTTACTGACAAATGAAATCCAAATATTTGTCACCAAACCTAGCGGCCAAAGTCACAGGGTGTGGCGACGGCTGTTGCCGAAGGTAACTCAAGGTTCTCCCAAGCTGCGGAAGCAGGTGACCAAAGTCGCGTTAGTAGGCATGGCATCTTCCCTTACTTTTGGTGGCAAATAAAAATTCATGAACAACTCAACTCAAGTAACAGTAAAAGGACCAGCCACTACAGATAAGGACACTGGTCCAACTGTCAGGCCTATGTCCACGACTGTACTAACCAATCCATCAGGTGAGGACTTTTAGAGAGAGTTTACCTGTCAGTAGCTATGTCCAATGAATTTCCGTCCTTGGTCCAGTAGACCAGAGGTTCTGGACTGCCTCTAGGAGGAGCGCACTCCAGTAACACTGTGTCTCCCTGGGCGGCTCTCTGAGTAGACGGCTCCATGCGGAACTCATCCTGCAGCACTGGACAAGACATAGACAAGATATTACTGTAATTGCATACTAATATAACAAATCACACACTAACAACAAACATGAGCACGTTGTTTAAAAAAAAATGCAAAAAAGTATTTAAAGAGACATTAAGAAACTGTAAGGAGAAAGTAGGCTAAATCACTATGATGACCATGTAAGCATCCTAAATAAAATTGTTCACATAGACATTAGTAGACCATCATAATAATTCTATAGAAATAGCAACCACTTATTTACAGATAGCCTACATATACGAAATAGAAAATCGGAAACCTATCCAAAATACTATCTGACAATTTTTTGGCGGTCTAAGAGCTATATTATAGCTGGGGGCCTAATATTCAGTGTCTTAACGGAGCCTTCTGGGAACCAGGGGGAACCCAGTCGTATGCACCCCTTACCTCTCTAATCGGGTCACTGGGGAGGTGGACTTTATTCGTGAGAACAATGTAGACGATCTGACCCAAATGGAGGAGGAAGGTCTACTGAAATCTGACGATGACGACAAGCTCGCAGAAACCGGAAAGGAACGAAAAACGACTTTCCAGGGGCGAGTTGCAAAGACGGAGGATAGCGGATGCTTTAGCCAAAGGCGAAAAGGTGCTATCCAGAAGTGAGAGGAGGCTGGTATAGGCTGCCAAGCACCCTAACTCTGCTCCCTGCAAAGCCAGTTCCTCCGGGAACCAGGATGCTGGGGAAAAATCAGGGCAAAGGTAGTACCTCCAAAGCTGACTCTAATGAAGCCTCCAGGAAGGAAGGTGGAGGCTGTGCTAACGCAGCCACAAAGGATTGGCTGGTCAAGCAAGTTCAGGAGCTGAGTCCTTTCAGGGAAATCTCGCTTCGGCCTGCCCCTGCCAGAGACCTTGTGAAAACTGTGAATGTATATTTATGTGCCCAGCCCTACAAGGTCTGCGTATGAGATCCCTTGGCCTATTGATGGGAGATCAAAGGGAAGAACAGGTTACCATAGTCAAAAGGCTCTCACGGTTCACCAAGGACCTGGGATTTGACGGAGAATGAGGACCTGTGAACGAGGGTGCACAATAAGCTGTTCTAGCTACGATGCAATCACATGGTGAATTGTAAGCCTGGCCCTCTGTTAAAAAAAAGTCAAAATTTAAAGTTTACCTGATGACTTTAAGCATTTAGTAATAGGCTCCCTAACCATACAATACCAGTAGCAATACATAACACGAACCTCCAACTTGAAGAGTAGCATTCCTGCTGTACACGACCCCAGCCTGGTTGGATGCGCTACACCAATAGACTCCTGAATCCCGAGGTGCAACCCTGAGGAACAGCAGAGCTCCCGTCGGCAGCAGCACACGACTGGCCGAGGGGCTCACTAAGAGTCCATCCTTGTACCACTGTATGTTACCGTCGTCCGCGGCACAACCCAGGGTTGCCGGCTCATTACGGTACAAGTTGAGGTCTACAGGGTGTTCTGTGAAACGTGGCAGTTGGGTACCTGGAAGAAATAGATATATTTTACAAAACATGATCAGAGGATGAAGCCGGGTCACCTGGTAGACTGAGGCTGCAACAGAGCAAAGAGTCTGGGACTGTACTAGGGATAACTTATTAGCCTATTCTGTTAAAATCCTGTCAGATTGACAATAGTTTTACTAGCTCAAAAGTATGGATAGCCTAGCCCCTTTCGCTAAGTTAGGGCTTCCATACCAATTATCTCATTAAACTTGAACATAAGTTAACCAAGGACAAAAAAGGTTCCAAAAGGGTATGTAAGCACTACTTGCCCTGTTATCTCCTATACTTACCTACCTATGCCAGGATAGTTAAAAAGTGTTCAAGCTCTAATATGGCAAAATGTGAATGGCCATAGGCTTAATAATTTAGTAGGCCTACCTGTAAGTTACCATTGACAAAAAGAATTAAATATAGACCGTCAGCTGTGCTGCAGTTACCATAGCTTCTGGCGCACACCGCTTGGAGCGCCATGTATTTACGGCGTACACGCTACGTAAACTACAGCGGTGTGCGCCGGAACCTATGGTAACCATGGTAACCGCAGCACGGCTGACAGTCTATATTTAATTCTTTTTGTCTATGAAGTTACTTTTCACATTCAGACAAAAATACTTGTATCCCAAACCTTTCTTTTATTGGGAATATAGGTTAAGTATTGCCAGAAGGCCAACTTTCCTTTGTACAAAAATTGTGGCCTGTCAACTATGGCCAGCTCCTCAGATTAGGTAGGCCTTTTAAGCCTATATGGGACAACACAAAAACGTCTAGGGCTATAGCTAATTAACAGTGCTCGTAGTAGGCCTAGTACTGGGAATAAATTCATTTCAAAACCAATATCTAAATCTGGTAAACTCTCAGGGCTGACACTAGGCATAAGTTATTAACTTAACAATAGGTCGGACACCCTAACTCCTGGAGCGTTTGATGGTGGTGGATCAAAAAGAAAAAACCCGAAACCCGACTGCATTGGTGGGCCGACATCACTACACAAATCCACTTCGTTGCCAAAATCTTGTCCGGAAATATCAAATATATCACTTAAGCTATCGTCGCCTAAATATTTCTTCATCCCTAGGATAAATACTTTCACGATTCGGCATTGTTTAATGTTTACTTACACTTACAGTGGTTGAGCGGAGTGTGAAACAAGCAACAGGTTGTTTGTAAACAAACAGTAAAAACCAAAACAAAACAAAACAAAAACACCTGACTGCTGAGTGCTGACTCCCACTACAACCTTTTTCCGAGTCGTCTCGTCAACAAAAAAAAATTATGCTTTTCAACAGCTGACTTGATGAACGATGATCGATCGCTGCAGAGATGTCGTTGGGAATATTGGAAAACGAAATGTACCACTTGAAAGAGTACGCTTCCCCGAACGCAATACTAATAGAAAAATACATATTTTTTTCTTTTTTAAGCCTATGGCCAGGCTATGCTTTTTTAAATCCATGCAGTCCCAAGGTACACTAAATGTGGTTGCTACCTGTATGTTAATATGTTACGGTATTTTTAAGTTTTCAAACTAGAGTTAAAGTTACTCTTTCTTCTTCTTCAATAACTACTTTTAGCGCGGCAAATTCAAACTACACTCAAACGTGCCTACGCGCCTGTGGGACTTAAGGTGTTTATGAATTATTACCAAAGTTAGGACAGCACTTTTTGTCCGGAGTTGTAAACTCCACCCTAACTTAACACTAGACTCAAACATATGCTGAAAACTTAAACGGCAATGATTTTATGATAGGAGTTCTATGTTTCTGACTCTATAGGTAGGATTTAAGGGTGTCACATGAGATTTATATTGTATCAGGGTTCGTTAATTGCATCTTTGTAAGTTACTTGGCTCAGCATCTTTATTGCTAGGGTGAACATGTAGGGGAGGTGTTTTAGTTTTACTAGGGGGTAGGGGGTACTAGACTAGACATATTGTCTGGTATAGGGATAAGACTACTTCCAGGGACAGATTAACTTTATATCAGCTGTTGTTGTTATCAGTGTCGAGCGTCTACAAAATTGTCTTTTATTTGTCTTTTAGGTTATTATCAAGGTTATGTGTCTATCTGATTTTGCATAACAGAAAGGACTTGAGTGCATATCAAACAATTGAGTGAGAAAAAAGTAAGTAAAAGCAGCAGCTAGCTACTTTTCGTGCTATAATCATCGATCTCTATAATACAAATTGAGTGTGAGTGTGGCAAAAGTAAGTAAAAGCAGCAGCTAGCTACTTTGCGTGCTATAATCATCGATCTCTATAATACAATTGAGCGTGAGTGTGGCGAAAGTAAGTAAAATCAGCAGCTAGCTACTTTGCGTGCTATAATCATCGATCTCTATAATACAATTGAGCGTGAGTGTGGCAAAAGTAAGTAAAAGCAGCAGCTAGCTACTTTGCGTGCTATAATCAGTGCAAGGAAGCCCATTTTATCAGATAACTGTAGGAAAACTATTATGTCACAAGAAAAATACTCCATGCCCAAGAAATCGAAATTCATAAACCACACCCAAAACCCACCAGTCACAAAAAATAGGTTCGTAAAATCCACAAAGAGGCTAATAAACACCCAAAATCATAAAACGTCCCACGACGAACCCCTTAATTACGCCCCCATTGTGACTTTTGGGTTGAGCTCGCCCGTATGGAACGCCCTAAATATATATTCTCCAAAATTGTGTGAAGAGTGTTATTGTATTCACCCCTTTCCCGACCTCACCCAACTATAGACCACCCACCACGGGTGTTTTGTCCAGTAATTGATACATAAGCTATTAATCATCTTTCAGACCCATACCCTTCACAATCGAATTCCTATAGTAATCAACTCAATAGAAGAGTTAAATTTTATTTGGTTTGAAAAGCTAAAATAAGTTTTTTTGTGTCTTCATCGGGGTTGGAACGTAAAAGGGATGGAAGCAGCAATTTGTTAAAGAAGATTTTAGTAGTCACGTTTTTACGATGTTGTTTACAAATGTGTACCCGTATATTAAGATCTCAAACTTTCCATTAATTATGTGAGAATACCAGTAGATTTGTACAATTTCGGACTAGGGAATCTTGGTACAATTTCCCGGAGTCGGTCACAAGTAAAGAGCGGTGGACGAACCTATTTAATTTACCTTCAATTTTGTGATCGAGTTATTTATACTAATATTAAATTATTTACAGATTCTTTCATTTGCAAGGTTGTAGGTACTTAAGGTTGAGTTTGAGTTAATTGACATAAGAGCTCATTTTTTTACTCAAAACATTTCACGCGATTTTATGAAACTTAGTTTCAAAACCCATCCAAGGCCCCAGGGATAGATTCCCACCGAGGTGGATTTCGAGCAGGTGATGTAAAAGGCAGGACCATTCCCACAGATCATTTACACAATTCACGGCTGTCGGGCTGTCGCTGCCCCAAAACCCAATTTGGGGGGGGGGGGGTTGCCGGTGACACCTAGGGGCTTTTATTCTGAGGGTTCAATTGGATGGTCAAGGTATTGTAAAGGCAACGTTATTATGAAAAAGTTTATTACTAATCTATCTTGAGCACGTGTATTCTCAAAACATGTAACATAGGTGTATCAAAGCAAAAGTATGAAAAAAATGCTTGGATATCTTAAAGTTGGGCATATATTTCAGGATCTTATGAATTTTCCTAATTTTTCAAAGTTAATCACATTTTCCGATAAATATTTTAAAATTCTTAAACTTCTTAAATTGATCAAATATTAAACATTTCTCAAATCAGATTTCTGCACAAGAAAACTGCTAAAGGTAGGGCCTAAAATAAGGCGGTTCAAATGTTGCTAGTGTTTGTGGTTAACGAACTCTAGTGTCAACTTCAAATAACATTGAAAATAGGTCATTATAATAAAACAGATTAGTGGTTAAAATAATTGCGTTAGTTGCAAACTTATTCTTAATTATATTTTAGCTTTTGATTACTATAGTATAATAAATTAAAAAAATATTGTACCTGAGGACCGAGCTTTGATCGGGGAACTTAATTAGTATACTCTGATCTTGTTAAATCTAAAAGTAATATAAATATTCAAATACGGGTTTCATGCATTCCAAAAAGTAATAATAATTCCGTGTTGCTTTTGAATTTGAAAAACAGTTTCAAAATCAAACATAAGCTTAGTTCATTGCCAATGCAAGTATTTTTATCCTGTAATAATTATGAATAATGGAAATACACGCGTCAATAAAAAACACATATTCAGTATGACTGATAAATGGATTCCTCTACGAACAGCAGTCTTATAGATTGAGTTGTATTCCTAGCCTTATATAAGATTACCTCTACGACTTTTAGGACATCAGGTTTTCTCATTCAAAAACACCTTTTGAAACTAAGTACAGTATCAATTGACCTCAATCCAACAACAGAAAATGTTAAAATTGGTTAAAAACGTAGGAAGTTCCAGGAATCCCCTTAACTCAATTAAGGGTATAAGGGGATATACACACTTGATTATTTGTTTGTAATTTTTTCAGGCTAGAATTGTTATATTCATAGAATTGGTTTTATATTCACCTCAATTATTTTCCTAAATCACAATTTATTTGCTCATAATTTTTTCTAAAAAAAAGCACAACAAAACTAGAAGTAAACACGTCATTTTCCGGACTGTCAATCGTTTAGACCTTCAATCTAACACTCGTTACACTGTAATAACAGACAACAATGCTGCAATTGTCCTAAAACCCATTGAACCGTTTAATCCAACTGGTCATGTGAATTGCATCCGATTTAACACCTTTACAACAATGGATTGAATGTTTTCCGGAAGTGGTTGATGATTGCCTGACAGTTTAGTTAACTGGGGCTTGTCAATAAAAGTAGTATTGTTCACAAAAATACTAGAATTTGAACTATAGTAGAAATAATATCCTCAAATCTATGGACACCTCTGAAACTGACTACAACCATTGATTCCTCTATTAATGTATACATCAAATTCATAGGCCCATGTTGCATATTGTTTAAC